TTTCCGCGTAATTATGCAAAAGTTGCGGCCTAGACCAACTTCTCATCACATTAGACCTAAGCTATTTTTCCACAAGGAATTATATAATTGCTCGCACGTTTTCTGCAGAGTTGAAGGCAACAGACGTCCTCTGGATCAACCATATACCGGACCGCATAAAGTACTAGAGCGCATCTCGGACCAAGTCTTCGCCATTGAAATCGACGGCAAACCCATCAATGTCACGGTCGACAGACTTAAGCCCGCGTACGTACTAATCCAAGACTCGGAAACTCTTCCGTCCACTGCATCTTCGTCTTCAACTGACATTCCAGTGCAAGGTGAACCAAAGACATATCCTAGTCCAGCAGCAAAGCGAAAGACTGTTAGATTTAAGATGTAATTCGCGCAACATTATGCTAAGCAAACCAATATGTACAACTTTTGTTTGTTTCATCTATTCCTATGTTTGTTATTCTCATTCTAGCGATATCTTAGCCAGTATTTCTTTCTTTAACGTTTACACTAGGAGGGGAGTACTGTGGCGTTGCGAGCGTTAGTTGCGGCGCTGCGAACGTTAGCTGCGGCGCTGCGCGCGTCCGTCGCGACGCATACGATACGAGGCGGCGCTGCATGCGTCCGTCGCGATGCTGATACGGTCGTTCTTTCCATGACTCTTCCCATTCTCTCTCCGGCGTCATGGCGTGCCGCGTGCAGACCTCGTGTAAGTCTCTGCGATAGTCAGTAAGTTAGAACTCGGACGTTAAAGCTCCGAATTACCTTGTGTATTCCGCGAGGCCGATACCGATCATTATTCATGTCCGCGATAATTATTAGCGTCGTCAGATAAATTCTTAGAGTGTATTTTCATAGTTCTAGTATTGTAACTCCGCGACACGATGCCGGTATCCGAGCCGACTTACACGCGCAATCACGTCTCTACTTTCTAATCAACATTTGTATTCAGTATTTAGTTAATTAGGCATTAAGTGTGTATTAAAACGCCTCATGGCATAAAATCAGAAGCAGTGCGTAGCGCTCATTCTCAACCTAACTTTTTCCCGCCATACGTCCTTCGCCGTGGTTGGTAACCACCGGCGCCATATTGCGTAGCACGCGATCCAATAGCCACACATTCACAACAGCCGGAACCATCTTTTGGAAAACGGATCGAACTAATTTGTACTCCCAATAGAATTTCCCATAACCTTAAAAGACGTAACGAAATTCGAACATCTCAACGTGTCCATTAATGTATATGGTATCGAGGGACAGAAAACGCTGTTCTCTCGCTGACGACAGAAAGGAGAAACATGTGAATTTATTACATTTGCAAGATCCGCGAGACGACAATGTGAGTCATTTCGTACGGATCAAGAATCTGTTCCGGCTCATGAATTCGCAATTGAATATGCATCATGGTAAGCAAAAATATATTTGCGATCGATAAGTACGATTAATAAAAGCGAATTCTTCTTTAAAAAAAAAATTAACATTATTTTATTTTTATCTGCAGCTGTTTACATTATTTTCATTCTAAGAGAGATTGCAGTCACACATGGTAGATTGCCGACGGATAAACGACTGCGCTATCCGACTATCGAGCGACGACGACAAATGGTTGAGTTTTAACAACTATAATAGGAAGGAACGAGTTTCATTTGTAGTTTACGCTGATCTAGAATGCATCTGAGAAAACTGATAGCGATCAGGAAGCATCTACGAGCACGTATCAATATCATCATCAAGTATTTAGCATAGAATACTACGTGCGCTGTTCGTATGACGATTCTCTATCAAAATATCAATTTCGTCGCGATTCGTCTAGATTGCGTTTTCATCGAAAAACTGAGAAGCACATCGCATAAAAAAAATTTTAGTAGCTAATGTTCCCATGAAAACTTTGTCGAGCGAACAGTGGGAGACATTGTCACGTGTGCAAAAAACCTTTCGCGCTAGACGATAATCGAGTAAGCAATCATTGCCATTTAACCGGTCGTTACCCTCGCATTCAAAAATTGCAATTTAAATTATAAAAACTCATATTTTATTCCCATAGTTTTCCACAATTTATCAGGTTGTGACTCTCATTTTATTATCAAAGAAATAGCTACAGCATATGAAGGCAGTATAGATTTATTATCAATAACAAAGGAAAAATATATATCATTTATAAAAAATGTTAAAGATACCGCTGGAAGATCTAATTCGCAAAATAACATAAAATTACGATTCATCGATTCTTATAAATTTTTAAGTATCAGTCTCAACAAATTAGCATCCTTTCTCAATAAAAATGAACTTCAAATTTTACAATGCGAATTTCAAAATTTGTCCGAAGAAAACTTCGAGTTACTGACACAAAAAGGGACTTTTCCATACATTGATTACGCTGACAAGCCGCAGGATACGTGTTTACCACCGCGCGATTTATTCTACAGTTCCTTAACCGATGACACTGTATTCGAAAGCGATTACGCGCACGCCATGAACATTTGGCAACAGTTCTCTGTTCAAACCTTGGATAAATACAGCGAACTATATTTAAAAACGGACGTGTTGCTGTTAGCCGCATATTTGAAAATTTTCACGATAATTATATTGAAAGTTACAGTCTCGACCCTGCGTATTATTATACTTTACCAAGTTTTACGTGGGATCCTATGCTGAAACATATATGCGTAAATTTCGAACTGCTCACTGACATCGATATGGTGATGTTTATCGAGCGCGATATACGCGGCGGTCTTAGTCAATGTTCCAGCAGGTACGCATGAGTCAATAACAAATATATACAGTCGTATGACCTATCGAAACCTTCTATTTGATGTATTTCGATGTTAATAATCTATACGGATGGGCGATGTGTCAACCATTGCCATATACCAAATTTCGATGGGTCGATAACGTCTCGGACTTTGACGTTAACGCGATCGCTCATGATTTGTTCTTGAGGTTCGACTTAGAATATCCGGAGCGTTTGCACGACGAACACATTGACCTGCTATTCTGTTCAACGCATGATAAACCTGGCAAGCAGGATAAACTTTTAGCGACTGTGTATGACAACAAACGTTACGTTATACATTATCGCAATTTGCAGCAGTGCATGCGTCACGATCTTCGTGTAACAAAGATTCATCGCGTATTGCAATTCACACAATCGCCATGGCTTGTATGATGAGTTCGGATTGTATCGCGATTGCCTCTTCTTTAATGTACGCTCCGGTTACAATATCGTCGACGTAGCAGTCGTGTCTCAGTGCGGCGAAACCTCGCGAAAATCTTGCGTTTTCATCATCGTTAAGCTGACGAAGTGTGCGGATAGCGAGAAATGGCGCGCACGACAAATCGTATGTCGTTGTGTTCAATCGCTGACTGAATGACGCCAGAGAATGCGTTAATAATCTCTCCTCGGGCGTCACAAGAATTTGGCAGTACATTTTTTCAACATCCGTCGCGATCGCGTATCAGTGCCACCGCCACCGGATCAGTACATCGGCAAGCGATGACAACAGGTTAGCGCCGACTAATAACTGAGTGTTTAGTGATTTACCGAACCTTGTACTCTGAGATTCATTGAATACTACCCTGAGTTTGGTCAACGAACTCAATTCTCGGAGCACTCCATGGTAAGATAGGTAGCATCTTGCTTGTGACTCTGATGACCTTGGCACTAATTCCATGTGATTCAATTCTTCGTATTCTTTTAGAAAGGCGTGGTACAGGTGTCCGAATCGAACGTCACATTCGCACCGACGCTCCATGGCGGTGAGCAGTCGCTTGGCTGATTGGCGGGTGTCACTGAGTGCTGCTGGCAGCGCGGCAAATGGCAGTCGCACGACATACCTTCCTGTAGCTGTGCGGTTGTGAGTTCGAGCAAAGATTTCCTCGCATCATTGCTCGTCTGACGTGATGGACACTGAGGCGGAAGGTTCCTTTTCCTGCTCCCAAAAACGTTGTACGAGCGTGTCAGCTCATGGTCAGCAGTGCACTGGAAGGAGCGGTGTGGAGACACTGAAAGATTCTTGCCGCAGTCTTCCGAGAGAATCCAAGCAGAGTGCACTGAGTGACGGGAGTGTGCGGATCGCTCTTTCGAAGGCCCTCTTGTAAAATGATAGAGCATACTTCTGCGCTGAGTAACAGCTCGATGGGATCGAGCCGAGAATTGCAGATCAGCCAGCTGGAGACCTTCAATGTGAGGCCATGTAGTCTTACATGTCATAACTGCTCCTTGATATAGCGAAAGACGTGGCAGGATAAAAGCGATAACTCGAGCTCCATTTATCCTGGAGGTGAGACTGAGAGATACCTTTCCGCGACAGGAACCCGAGCCACCGATCCCGAAAATTAAAATTGCCGCGCGGGATCGCGGCAGGCGTAAGCGCTGGACTAGCGCCTCAGAGATCAAAGACACTTCCGATCTTTGATCGATTAAGACACTAATCGGGTGAGGATTCCCGTGGCGATCATCGACAGTAATTCTTGCGGTAGCGAGTAGAATGGCCTTGCATTCGTCGTCTTGGCGTATAGCAATCAACGCGCTTACGTCGGCGAGCTTCGTAGTGACATACGCTTCGTGTAGGAGCGTGTGATGTCTCGCCTTACACGTAAAGCACGTCTTCGTTGACTGGCACTTCGCGATTGGATGCGAACCATCGAGACAGTTGTAACACAACCGGTATGTTTCAGGATTTTCGTTCGGATGCGGATTTCAACTTGAATTGTTCGCACATCATTACATTATGCCGACCTTTGCACAGAACACAGCCGGGAGCTACACATTTAGCGACGTACGATTCGCGGTGGATCTCCGAAGACCTTGATGATCTTTGGTTTTGCGGCCTTGAGAGTTTGCTTGATAATAAAGTCCATCAAGGTATCGTGATCTGGCAAGTCCGTGGAACCGCTCGTGTAAGATTCCCACTCGAGACGAGTCTTCGGATCGAAGAGCTCAATGATGAAGTGATTGAAAAAGTCAAAGCCATACGAATTAAATGGTCTTCCGATGCTTTCTTGACCATTCACGGCACTGATCGCGGCATTATAAATGTGGTTAAGTTCTTCGGCGGTATCGCTTTTCATTTTCTGCACTGCGGTGAACGTGCAAAAATTGAAGCGCGATAACTCTTTTTTGTTCTCGTAATGCTTGCACAACAGCGCCCTCGCACGAGAATAATTATCTCCGGTTACGGCTAACGGACGTATCAATGCTTCCGCGGATCTTTCTAAGCAATGCTTTAAGTGATGGAATTTCTCTACGTTTGAGATAGACGGATCATTACCGACGATGAACAAGAATGTGTTTCGAAACGATGACCAGTCTTCAAACGCGCCCGAAAATGATCGGATTTTCTGACGCGGCAACGCGTCATTTGATGGAAAAATCGTTTCCTGATTCATTCGGAGAAGCTGTATTTGACTTCTCAGCTTTGAGCTTTATCAAATAATCGTTCAACAGGCTATGCTGCTGCACGTAAGTATTTTCAGCGGAATCCGCGAATTGAGACGTACTGTACTCACTTCCATCGTAGGCTTCCTTATAACGTGCTCGTGCGGTCTTTCGAACTTCGTCCACAATTGATCGAGAAGCGCTAAGCGGGTTTCGACGGCGTGGAGAGTGATGTTGGTTATCCCCATCTTCTTTAAATTAGTCACTGATCTGGCCATGCGACCGTGGATGTCATTCTGAGTGGTCAATAAGGTATTTATTTCATCACTTATGATTTTACTTACTTACGTTCTCTCTTTGTTCTTTTAGGTATAACGCGCACTGAACGTGATGGTACTCTCGAATGAGCAATAAAATCGGCGAAGGCAAATCCGACTCGAAGGATCAGCAATGTTCGAGAGCGAATCAAAGCGAGAGCGACAGCGAGAAAAATTTGAGCGAGAGAAGGCGATTTGAACTACAGTTCGACTTACATGAATCCTTGATCACGAATCCTTGATCGAACGCGGAGGTTTTCTGGCTGAGTATAGGCGATTATACTTTTTTCAGAGTGTTCTTTAATCGGAAAAAGCGAAGAAGCGTTTATTTGGCCGAAAAAAGACGAAAAAGCTTGAATCGCAGATCGATTTGGCCTTTTATTTCGTTGGTAGAACAAAGGCTTTCTTTTTTAATCGCTTATGAGATTCTAGAAAATTATAAAAATTGAAGTGACCCTCATGATTCAGGTCGAAATTGACAATTCTCGACCGCGATGGCCAAGCGGTACGCTATTGTCATGCGCGCCCGCCAAATCAGGAATCCTGATTGGGGTGTCGGTGTGTTACGCATTTCGCGTCATGCGAGCACGCGTGCGCTGTGACTAATCTGACTGTGATTGTCGTTTTGGCGGTTAGAATTTTGTACGTATAATATGCAGATTGATTACATTTTTTGCCTTTATTGACGAGGTGATTGTCAAGTTTATGTTTTTTGGAAGCTTCTAGAAAACTTTCAAACGTTTTAATAAATTGATTAAATATATTTGTAACATCTAACTTTGACCCCCCCCCCCCTCCCCGTTCGGCGTTCTTTATTTTATTTGATTTATTCATACACGGTCGTTCTTCTTATAATGTTTATATACGTGGCCTAAATAACGCATTCTCTCTATACATATCGATTATTGCGAGGAATATTTTCGAAACGCCCTAGTGGTCGAATTGGCTAAGACACTCTTCCCAAGCAAGTTGAGAGGTACTAGGTTCGAACCCTGGCTGAGGTAATATTTTTCGCAATAAGTTTTTCTCCGTTTTTTAGGAGTTTTATTTAGAGAAGATTATTAAAACGTTTCATAATGATTGTGTTGAAAGTCCGACAATTATCGGCGCGCAATCATTTGAAACAAATAAATTGATTAAATATATTCGTAACATCTAACTTAACCGTTCGGCGTTCCTTACTTTATTCAAAAAGAATAATATTAGAAAAAATTATAAAATATTTTATTTTTTACGATAGATGTTACCGTAGATGCTACGGTAGATGCTTTTTACTCAGATGCTTAATCCTGTTTTATCTTTCACATTCTCTGTACATTCTTAGATTTATCGATTTAATACATTTCTGATGATAAAATAGTGATTACATAAGGTAAAATTTATCTTTGGAGCAGTTAAAGCAGTTGATAATGACAACGCTCTACAATTACCTCCGGGTCCTTTTTATATCGCCGAAAATTTATCCAAGATTGTCGATCTTTAATATCTCGTCGGTAGCTAAATTTAAAATTTATCTTTCTCCTTTTACATTAAAAGGTGAAAAAATAATTCTAAATTGAAAGATAAATTCTGATTTTACTATTCCTTGTATGCATACATATAGGGAGCAATAATAATGTCAAAGTGAAAACTAAAACGCAAGATAATAATACTTGCCACTATAAACTACTACTATAAAAAGTCAAGTAACTTAAATCTCTAATGCGTGGTCTACAATGGGCAATAGCAATAGTGGATCTCTGGGAAGGAAATCGACCAATCATAGTTGAATGTAAGAAAAATAATCAATTATGATGATCGATTTCTACGTCTCCTTAACTACTGTTACTGTCCATTGTAGACCATGCATTAAGCTAGTCACACACACTTTCCGTAACAATAACCGTAAAGGTGAAATCACACCGTCCGGAATAGGACTGCGGAATACACAATGCGTCATTGAAGCAACCAATCAGCGCTATTCCGTACTTTTCTATCACGCAAGTTTTGTATGCTATGTTCACATGATGCATCAAAGATGTATTCAACATAAATATAATTTAAAAATTACTAACTTCATTAATAATTTGCTTATTAAAATAAAATATAATTTTTCAAATTGTAAAAACAATTATCGCTGTTATAATATTTAATGTTTTACAATTAATATTTACAATTTCATGACAATTTTTTTAACTTTAACGCATTTACTGTCATTTTTCCGCCTCGTGTGAACATAGCACACAAAACTGACGTGATGAAAAAGTGCGGAAAAGGGCACACTGAAATCGCACGTAATGCATCATTGTTTTTTTTGATCTTGATATCTATATTTATGCACTCAGATTTTGTCATTTTGTTTCATTCGTCTCGACATTACGCAATTTCATCATATCAATCAGCATCAAATTATTTTAACCTCTCAAAATAGGACGGTTTATTACAAGAACAATGACGCACTCGCTATTCCGCAACATCAAATGCAGAATAGCGCTGAGTGATTGTTTCAATAATGCATTCTCTATTCCGCAATCTTATTCTTTACCGTAACAATTGAGCAACCCGATTGGTCGAAAACCTTATTGTTACGGAAAGTGTGTGTGACTAGCTTAAAGTTTATTTTACAATAGTCGTAAGCGTAGTTGAATTGACCAATCACAGTCAAATATTCTCCTCACATTCGACTTGATTGGTCAATTCTTAAAACTACAATCGCTTACGACTATTTAGAATAAACTTAAGGGCTGCCACACACAAAATTCCGTAACAGTATGTGTAAGATGTGAACTTAAACCAATGAACCAATCAGAATAGATGCTTTAGATTACGTAATCTAACGGAAATGGAAATAATAGTAAACTTATCCAATCTCGTAATAAGATGAATTTCAACTGGTTAAAACTCTCCTTATAGATAAGTCAACTGCAATTTCTATTTCCATTAGAGTACGTATCCTGATTGGCTCATTGGCTTAACTTCACGTTTTAACTTACTGTTATATAAATTTTGTGTGCGGCAGCCCTAACTACTATTATAGAGCTACTATTGTTTCAAAATAGGTTAAGTTGTCGCTCAAATTCGACGCTGTAAAACCTTAAGATCATTCTACATTGGTCGTATCACAGTGTTGGAAGCGTCGTAAGCATCATGCGACTTTAAAATTAAAGCATCGGATTGGCTGAAGTAATAAATTTGTGACTTGCGACGTCTGTGATACGACTAATGTAGAATGGCCTTTAAACATAATGCGAAAGAATAGCGATAGAAATAACACGATTTCAATCTGTCAGAAATCAGATACACTGGAATATACACTTTCCGATAGGTTGAAATCATATTATTCTTATCGCTATCGCTATCGCATTGTGTTTAAGGCTTAAATCCTTTTCATAGATTTCAGTTGTCGCTGGCAACAATTGTAATCATGATCCTTTTGACGCTAGGGTTATGTTCCAAAACGTTCTCTCCGAGGAAAATTTTACGTGAAACATATAATATACATATAATATATACTAGCATATATATTATAGCATATAGAGTAAAATCTTCCTCAGAGAGGAAATTTTAGAACGTAGCTTAGAAAACAAGCACATGAAAAGGCACTTCAAGGAATTCCAACGTCGCATAAAAAGGCACTTCAAGGAATGGACGAATCAATTAGAGTGCGTTCGTTTATGCAGTTACTGCTGCAGATGTCGTTCGTTTATTCTACTTGCGAAGGCGACTGCAGCGCAGTTTGTCATTCGTTTACGCAGGGATGTATACCATCTGCGCAGTTATCTCGGAGGTCCTGCTCAGGGCTGCGTTCAGATTCCCACCTGGGTGCTCCTCGGGTGTCATGTCATCCTTATTTAATGTTCAGTAAACAACAAAGATGATATGACATTCGGGGGACACCCAGGTAGGAATCCGAACGTAGCCCAGGATGCTCTGCTCGCAGTACTGCGTAAATGAATGATAAACTGCGCTGCAGTTGCCTTTGCAGATATCTTGCTGTTCATAATATTGCCAGCTATAATAGCCGATTGTATTACTAAAAACGAATTTTATTAAAATATTTAAAAAATAAAAAAGGTTAAAAACAACTTGTCGAAATCGATCCTACTAAAGTGAAAATAATGCAACATAAGATATATAATGGAAAAAATGTGAAGTTTGCTAATTTGTATTTGCGATCAGATTAAACCTAAAAATTACACCTTTTTTGGATTAGATTAAAAATATATACATATATATATAAGAATTATGAACTTTTTATAAATAAATTTTGTAATATTTTGGAGTTTTATTTAATATTTTCGGATGTTTTATTTAGAACCTAATTTTACAACTCATGGTTAACTCTTAATCGAGGATCAACTTACTTTTCATATCTTTCCAATTCTAGCATTAGAAAGAGATGAGGAATAAGTTGAATCTCAGTTAAGAGTTAAGCGGGAAGCACAGACTCTTGCATAACACATGAGACATAAGAAAATGAACCAATCAAAGTCCTTTATTTCCTTTCTTTTCGTAAAATAAAGAACTCTAATTGATTGCTTTTCTTATGTCTCATGTTTTATGTGTTATGCAAAAGTGCTCTCCGCTTTAACCATGAGTTGTGAAACTGATGCCTTATTTTTGAGCACATATATACATATATAATTTTTACATATGAAAATGACAATTTCTCGATTGGATTGATCGATTATATACGGAATTGCTATCTCTGTATGCGATATTTGTTCAAGAATAGGGCCCCTGGACTTAATTTTCGATCAGCTCAACTTTTCCAGATTATCTATTGGAAAATACAATCCAATACGACATATTAGCAGCTATTCATGTAGAGATCCATTCGGTAAATTTAGGTAACCAACAGATAAAAAAGCAGAGGATGCGCTATCCACTGCATAAACGAATGTACCCTTATTTTCCTCGTATTGTAGTTAAATTAATAAAGATTAAATTGATTAATTCGATTAAATTAATAAAGATTTCAACGATTTTAGCGATTTATTTCCATTAGGAGCACTACAAAAAGGTGGATATTATTGTGTAGTTAACATCCACTTCTTCAGAGGGCGGTAGTACGCAACAACATTTTACAATTACAAGTTATCATGTTCTCTCTCTGCTTATACCACGTCTAGTATGGTATTGTAGCATTAGTCTAGGTTATTCACGACCTTGTTTCCTTGTCTCGCACATTGTTATTTTTATAGTATAATTTTATAATCGTTATTTTATATTGCATTGATAAACATCATTAATGGTAATCAACAATGTTTATTTTAACATCTTGTATATATCATATTTTTTCATATATTTATTTCAATATGTTACTGTTTTTACCATTAACATATATTAAGAAAATAAACATTAAAGGATCTCATATAGACCAAAACGCAGGATGTTACTACATGATATCTATTTATCAATATTTAAACTATATAAATGTTTCTATTCTGTTATCCAGTTATCATCAAAGTACAAAAAAATTATCTTATTGAATCGAGTTTTTGAATGATAAATTATTCGAAATGATTGTTACGTTTACATTCTTTGGGCATACATCTTTTGAAAAGTTTAACATACACATACAAGTTCTTCAACATAATTGGGTCAAATATATTAAAAATACAAAATTAAAATTTTAAAGATGTATATTTAGATGGGTATATATTAGTAATATATAC